ATCTTTCAACATTGAGACTTAAACCAGCCATATTGCTGTCCATCTGTGACCTACGGAAACAGGCCATTCGGGCCAACAAGTTCTTGCTAGTATTTATGTTGTATTCTGGGGAGAGATTGATTGTTGAGGCTCGATGGTTTTATACATGTGAATATCATATGGTTTTGGATGTCTCTGGAGTTTAGAGGAATGTGAGGTGACTTCACTGAAACATGAAATTCTTATAGGGTTTGATGGGGTTGGTGGGGATGTTGAGAGTCTGTTTTATTCCCAACAGGAGAGCCTGGAACTGGGTAACAGGGAGGAGGAAAAGGCAGTGGTTGCAGTATTAGGTAAGGGGTCATCACTGATCACTGTTATGAGGAAAAATATCTTCATCCATCAACGAGAAAACATTCAGCAGCTAGTGAAGGTTACACTCATTTGATAGAGTCTCACTCACTGTACGCGGCTAGTCAAACAGTCTCTGATGCTTCCTTTCCTGAGGCCAGTTCTACAATTGCCTTGTAATCCCCAGCATCCTCCTTCCATCTGTCAATGATTTTGAGACTGAAGTTTCTGGGATGAAGATTTGTCTGTTTCTTCTCCTCCTCAGTGCCATATTTCACTTACCTACATGTGTATCATGCTATTTTGGTGCTGTATGAAGATTGTTTCCAGACAGTCTCATCATCCATCTATCTGTTTGGAACCACCAGTGGCAGGGAGACTGATTGACCCAGGGATGCATGCACAGACGGACAGAATGACTGTGAACTGAGGGAACACGAGGACACAGTCAGTCAGTGTGGAACAAGGCAAACTCAGTCATGGAAGGAGATATTACATAAATAGAAAACCCCCTGTTGAATACCTCAAGAAAGATTCACAAAGACAAAGAATTACTTCTGAACTGAAGCCCCTGATAACAATGAGGGAAATTGTGGCAGATAACTAACGCAGCAGTTAAATAAAGAGGAGAATCATTCTGCATTGTCCCATCAAATAGTCCCAGGACAGGGACAGCATAGAATTAAATACTGTGTAAACTTGCCTTTACGTTGTCCCTATCAAACATTCCCAGGACAAGTACAGCACAGGGTTAAATACAGAGTAAATCTCCATGTGCACTGTAACAAAAACAGAAATTGCTGGAGAAATTCAGCAGGTCTGGCAGCGTCAGTGGATAGAAGGCAGAGTTAATGTATCAGGTCCAGTGACCCTTCAAAACAGAACATTCTACTCATACTCATATTCTAATTTTTCCATCCTTATTAATATTTTAGTGATTCTTCACTGTTTTATGTATTCTTTCCAATCTTCTGACTTGCTGCCCATCTTTATAGAATTATATGTCTTTTCTTTGAGTTTGATACTGTCTTTGACTTTTGTAGTTAACTGCGAATGGCAGATCCATCCCTTAGAATTTTTCTTATTCGTTGGAACGTATTTAGTCTGCGCATTTTGGAATATCCCCTTAAATGTTTGCCACTGCTCTCTATTGACCTATCCCTTAACCTAAATTGCCAGTTCACTTTTGCTTGCTCCATTTTCATGCCTTCATAATTGCCCTAGTTTAAATTCAACATAGTAGTCTTGGATCCCCACCTCTCCCTTAAACTGCAAGTAAAGTTCAGTCATATTATGGTCACTATTACTCAGTGGCAGTTTCACTACAAGGTCTGTAATTAATCCTATCTCATCGGTCAAAACCAGGTCCACTATAGCCTGCTCTCAGGGTGCTGCCATATCATGATGGTCTGAGAAATTGTCCTGAAAACATTCAATGAAGTCCTTATCTAAACTACTTTTTGCCCGTCTGGTGTTTCCAGTCTACATATTGGTCAAAATCCCCCATGATAATTGCTTACCCTTTTGACAAGCTCACATTATTTCTTTCTTGATACCCTGTCCTACTATCAGGGGGCCTGCATACAACTGCCAAGTGACCACTTGCCTTTACCATTAGTCATTTCTACCCAAGCTGCTTCTGTATGCTGGTTTCCTGAATTTGGGTCATCCCCATCTATTGCACTAATAAAATCTTTAATTAACAGAGCCACTACTCCACCTTTTCCTAGCTTCCCATTCTTTCTAAATGCTCTACCCTTCAATATTTAGGTCTCAGTCTAGGTCATCCTGCAGCCACATCTCAGTAATAGTTACTAGCTCACACTTCTTTATCTCAATTTGTACTATTAGTTCATCCATTTTGTTTCAAATGCTACCTGTATTCAAATACAGTGCCTTAAGTTTTGTCCTTTTATTATTTCTGTAATCTCTAGTCTTATCTGCTGATTTGCTGTAATGTCTGTATTTTCTGTTCCTTCCTGTTATTGTATGTTTATCATTTCCCGCATTAACTTTTTTCCTGTGTTGTATTTTCCCTACTCCTTGACTCACCACAACATCCCAAATTTGGGCCCTTGCACCTGCTATTTATTTTAAAACCCACTCTACTGTTCAAGTAATGCAATTCAGGTGTAGACAGTCTCACCATCACAGATCCTACCTTCTCCACTGTTGGTGTTAGTGTCCCACAACCTGGAGTTTGTTTCTCCCACACCAGTCTTTCAGCCACACATTCATCTCTCTAACCTTGTTTACCCTGTACCAATTTGTATGTAATTCCAGTAATAATCCAGAGGTTATTACTTTTGAGGTTCTGCTTCTTAATTTAGTGCTTAGCTCCTCATACTGACTATGCAGAATGTCTTTCCGGGTTCTATCTATGTTATTGGTGCCTACGTGGGGCCACTGCAAGTTCTTCTCGAGACGAGATATCCTGAATCTTGGCACCGGGCAGACAACCCAGCTGACTAGACTCATGCTCTTTGCCGCAGAAAACAGTTTTTCCCTGGCTATGCCATCCCTGCCGACCACTCCATTCCTTTTTGCTCCTGTCTGCTGGATGGCTTCCATAGTAACAAGGTCATTTCGCTCATCCATCCCACACCACCACCACCCTCCACCTCCCCCCGCCGCCCTCATCTAAATGAGTTCATAGAACTTCATTGTCCTGTTGGAGAATTGAAGAGGCTCACACTCCTGCACTTCTGTCCTCCGGGTCTACTTACCTGCCTTACTTGTAATCACACTCTGCTGTGCCTGACCACTGACCATATCAAAATATCCTACCCTAAGAGGTGTGACTGACTCTTGGTACAAAGAATCCAAGAAACCTTCCCCCTCCCTGATGCATAACAGTTTCTGTAGCTCAGCCTGCAGATCATAACTCTGAACTGAACAGCTCAAACATCAAACACACACAGCAGATATGTTTGCCCTGGATAATAATGGTACTCTTGCGCTTCCGCATGTTGCAGCTTTGACACACCAGCAGTGCTGACATTTTTAATGAGTTGTTAATCAATTATTTACTTTGTTATTCAATTACTGATCTTGCTTTTTATGTCTTATATTAACTCCACCACCAATGCGTATGCCATTTTAAAACTAAAGACCAGAATAGGTTTCAACCAGTTAAACAGGTGCTCATTGTTGATAAACAAATGTTTGTGTCAAGTCTGATGTTTGACCTTCCTGCCTTCAAATGCTGCTTTTCCAATTTAATACAGAGTAAAGCTCCCTTGACACTGTCCCCCATCAAACACTCCCAGGACAGGGACAGCACGGGGTTGGATACAGAGTAAAGCTCCCTCCACTATTTGAAACTGAGCTGTCCTCATCAAACATTCCAAGGGCAGGTACAGCACAGCGTTAGATACAGAGTTTTTTTTTTTGACTATTGTTGTTTCTAGCCTATCCAAGACTTAAAGAATCTAAGGGCTTCAAATGTCTTGGAGATGGTTTTTCTTTCGCTATGTAAAGGTAAAGACATCTTAGCCCTGCTATCTTAATGGAGAGAGAAGGCTGGTGGTGGTTTAACCTGAGGATCACCACACCTCGGGCAAGGGGAGAGGTTGAGAAGGAGACTCCTTCATGATAATCTCAGGCTCTACAGGAATTAAACCTCGACTGTTGATGTCGTTTTGTATAACAAACCAGCCGTCCAGCCAACTGAGCTAACCAATCTCCCTGATGCTAGCTCGCAATGAAAAAACAAATCAGTCTGAATAGCTGATTCTACACTGACAACCTGATAAATGTAGTGATTAAATCTGATCAAATTGGAGGTTGCTACTTGAACTTTTAGCAGCAAATGGTGGCAGGAAGTGGTTGACCCGTGACATTTTCCATAAAGAAAAAATGCAGAATGCAAGTGATCTTAAGGAGGAGAGAGAGAGAAATAGAGAGAAACAGATAGAGAGATGAACACAAAGTGGTTATAGGGACAGAGAGAGAGTGAGAGGTAAAGAGAGGATAGCAAAATGGACATTGCCCATTATTTCAGGGTGTAGGCTAGTAAAGCTACAAGTGAGTATGATGTACTAACATAGACTGGCATGGACTGAACACCTTCGTGACATCTCACACAATTCCTTGTCTTTGGAAATGGAATGGGTTGTTGAAATTTTTTTTTGTTATCAATAGAGGGAGCATAGAAAGTAGCACAGAGTAAATGAAAGACTCTTCTTACGGGTGAGTTTGACTTCATAAAAACAGACAGAGCCATAAGCAGTGTAGGAAACTGAATAAAGGAACAGAATGCGTCATGTGTGGTGGGAGCAAAGTGTGTAAAGTAAAATAGTGAGAGATATGTCTACAATAGGCGTCACTCACGGAGAAGAGTATGAGGGAGATGGAGTGGGTCTCTCAAACAGTATAGACTGAATGAGGGTGTCACTCAGAGCAGTAAGGGAAATGAGGGGTCACTCAATTAAAGGGGTACCGAGAGACCGAGATAGTCAGGTACAGAAGGAATCACATGATTGGCCGGATACAGGGGAATGAGGTGTTGACTCGGAGGTGGACAACGGGACTGAAGGTGACTCAGATAGAGGAGTACAGGGAATGCACCGAGAGGCTTCTACACAGCCTGGGGTACGGGGATGATGTGTTTGTCTCAGTAGGATGCGCTTTTGCATACGTCTTTCCGTTCCAAACGCTTCCTCATTCATGGTCTGGTTAGTTCGTTTTCTCTCTCTCTCTTGATGGCGATCTGTCATTTGAATCTGAGATGGGCTTGTGAGCTACTTATTATCTCTGCCTTCTGTGTTGGTGGGTAACAATTTTTATATCAATTTTAGTTTAAAGATCAGCTCGCACGTGTCCTGAACCTTTCCAGTGCACGTACATGTAAAGACTATTCAGCCCATTGTGCTTATCGAACTGGAGGATTTAACCTGGCAAATTGTCTAAAATCCATTCCGTCTCACCTTCTCCTTTACTCCCTGTCTCTCTGGCTCCATCCATGGAACACTATAAGTCCCATCCTTCAGCTCTTTCACATTCAAATTCCTCATTCTTGATCACATCCTCCCAACGTACGCTCAGCAAATAGGCTCTGTGTCATCTCATGCCTGTGGTTTCTCGCTCTGCTTTGGCCTGTTCGTGCTGGATTAACTCTTCCATCAATAAACTGAACAGTTACCGTTATTTATTTTTTAGATACGCCAGGTTATTGAAGGTCATGGAGACTTATATAGACAAATTTCAAGTATGAATTCTGTATCTAACCTGTCCTGAGAGAGTGGTCAGTGTCCTTTCAGCTTAAAAGAGGAGAAGGAGCTTTACTCTGTATTTAACACCGTGCTGTACCTGTCCTGGGAGTGTTTGATGGGGACAGTGTAGAGAGAGCTTTACTCTGTATCTAACTCCGTGTTGTCCCTGTTCTGGGAGTATTTCATGGGGACAGTGTAGAAGGAGTGTTACTTTCAGTTCAAAAGAATAGAGAGGGCTTCACTCAGTATCTAACCTCGTGCTGGTGTTGGTTAGCTCAGTTGGCTGGGCTAAAACAGTGTGGAGCTGGAGGAACACAGCAGGCCAGGCACCTTTAGAGGAGCAGGAAAGCTGACATTTCGGGTCAGGACCCTTCTTCAGAAATGGGGGAGGAGAAGGGGACTCTGAAATAAACAGAGAGAGAGAGACGGTTCAGGCTGGGGAAGGTAGGTGGGATGGTGATAGGTGAGTGCAGGTAGGCAGTGGTGGGGATTGGTCAGTGAGATGGGAGGAGCGGATAGGTGGGAGAGAAGATGGACAGATCAAGGAGGCAGGGGTAAGAGGGAGGGTTGGTCGTGGGATGAGGCCGGGGTGGGGAGATTTTGAAGCTAGTAAAGTCCACATTGAGACCATTGGCTTGTAGGCTCCCAAGGTGGGATATGAGGTGCTGCTCCTCCAGTTTCAAGGTGGCATTGTTGTGACACTGGAGGATGGAAATATCATCCAGGGAGTGGGAGGGAGAATTGTAGTGGTTCACGACTGGAAGGTGTTGTCGTTTGTCGCAAACCAAGTGTAGGCACTCTACAAAGCGGTCTCCAAGCCTCCGCTTGGTCTCACTGATGTAGAGGGGGCCACATCTGGAACAGTGGATACAATAGATCACATTAGTGGATGTGCAGGTGAACAGCTGTCTGATGTGGAAGGTCTTCTTGGGGCCTGGGATGGAGGTGAGGTGGGAGGTGTAGGGGCAGGTGTAGCACTTCCTGCGGTTGCAGGGAAAAGTGCCGGGGATGGTGTGGCTAGTGGGGAGTGTGGAGCGGACGAGGGAGTCGTAGAGAGAGCGGTCCCTCCGGAAGGCAGATAAGGGTGGGGAGGGAAATATATCCTTCGTCGTGGGGTCAGATTGCAGGTGGCAGAAGTGGCGGAGAATGATGTATTGAATCCAGAGGTTAATGGGGTGATACGTGAGGACAAGGAGGATTCTGTCTTTGTTTTTATTACGGAGAGAGAGTTTTGTCTTTGTATTTATTGCGAGGAGGGGTATCGGCTGTTCCCAATGTGGCCTCCTCTACATCGGTGAGACCAAACAGAGGCTCAGAGACCGCTTTGTAGAGCACCTGCGCTCGGTTCACGTCAAACGACAACACCTTCCAGTTGCGAACCACTTCAACTCCCCCTCCCACTCCCTGGATGACATGTCCATCCTGGGCCTCCTCCAGTGTCACAACAATGCCACCTGGAAATTGAAGGAGCAGCACCTCATATCCCGCCTTGGGAGCCTACAACCCAATGGTCTCAACATGGACTTTACTACCTTCAAAATCTCCCCACCCCTGGCCTAATCCCATGACCAACCCTCTCTTCATCCCTGCCTCCTTGACCTGTCCATCTTCTCTCCCACCTATCCGCTCCTCCCACCTCACTGACCAATCCCTACCACTGCCTACCTGCACTTGCCTATCACCATCCCACCTACCTTCCCCAGCCTCTCTTCTCCCCGCCTCCTTGACCTGTCCGTCTTCTCTCTCACCTATTCACTCCTCCCACCTCACTGATCAATCTCCACCACCACCTACCTGCACTCACCTATCACCATCCACCTACCTTCCCCCGCCCAACCACACCTCTCCCTGTTGATTTCGGAGCCCCCTTCCTCTCCCCCATTTCTAAAGAAGGGTCCCGACCCGAAACGTCGGCTTTCCTGCTCCTCTTATGCTGACTGGCCTGCTGTGTTCCTCCAGTTCCACACTATGTTGTCTCAGACTCCAGCATAGGCAGTTCTTACTATCTCTCAGCTGGCAGGGCGCCTAGTCTTCTGGTGCAGAGGAGCGCTCACAATGTGCGTTCAATTTCTGTACTGGCTCAGGTTTCCATTAAAGTTTCTCATTGTTAACCTTGTCCCCCAGCCTGACCCTAGGTTGAAATACCACCAGTTATCGTCTCTCTCTCTCTCTATAAGGAGAGTCTTCACTTTGTATCTAATCATGTGCTGTCCCTGTTCTGGGAGTGTCTGATGGGGGGACAGTGTAGAGGGAGCTTTACTCTGTACCTAACCCCGTGCTGTCCCTGTTCTGGAAGTGTTTGATGGGGACAGTGTTGCGAGGTTTTACTCTGCAATTATTTACTTGCCTCATTTCTGTACATTGTATTGATGATTAGATCCAAAGCAATTCTTTGTCTTTGTGTATCTTTATGTAGATATATCACAGGAATTTTAATTTGTTTCATAGTTTTCTTCTATGACTGAGTTTGTCTTGTTCCACACTGATTGACTGTGTCCTCTTGTTCCCTCAGTTCAGAGTCGGTTTGTCCATCCGCCTGTGAATGGATCCCTGGGCCAGTCAGTCTCCCTACCTGTGGAGATGCCAAACAAATTGAATGTTTCTGAGGTTAGCTGGAAACGATCTTTAACCAATACCAAAATTGTTGGATTGTCAAGAAGCAACATTCAATATTTTGGCAGCGAAGAGTACAAGAAACGGATACATTTTCATCCTGGGAACTTCAGTCTCCAAATCAGTGACTTACAGAGAGAGGATACTGGGCAATATGAGGTAACTGTAACTGCAGATTCAGGAAAACTAACATCAGAGACAGTTCAACTGGATGTTTATGGTGAGTGAAACTATCGAATCTGCCTTGCTTTCACCTTTTCTGAAACCTGTTTCATAATAGGGGGAGGTGATTTCCTAGTGATATTATCACAAGAGTGATAATTCGGAGACCCAGGTAATGTTCTTCGGACCCGGGTTCGAATTCCACAAACTTCTGGAATTAAGTCTAATGATGATCATGAAACCACAGCCAATTGTCCAAAAAACCCATTTGATTCGCTAATGTCTTTCAGGGAAGGCAATCTGCCATCTTTACCTGGTCTGGCTTATATGTGACTCCGGTGAGTCAATTTAGTTAACTCTTAACTTCCCTCTGAAAAGGCTGAGTGAGCCACTCAGTTGCAATAATTGCAACAAAGTCTCAAAAATGAAGTGAAACCAGGCATTGACCTAGGCATTGGAAACAACAACAGCAGACACATCCCAATAAAGTTCTCCTTACAAACATCTGGGAGCTAGAGTATGATTTACTTCATCATACCCACAGAATCCTATCTTACAGACAATGTCCCAGGCACCACCATCACCATCCCTGGATATGTCCTGTCCCACCGGCAGGACAGAACCAGCAGAGGTGGCAGCATAGTGGGATACAGTCCAGAGGGAATTCCCTGGTTGACATCAAAATTGATTCCAGACTGCATGAAGTCTCCTGCCTTCAGGTTAAACATGGGCAAGGAAACCTTCTGCTTATTGCCACGTACCATACTCACTCAGCTGATGAATCGGTACTCCTCCATGTTGAATAACACTTGGAGGAAGCACTGAGGGTAGCAAGGGCATAGATTGTACTCTGGGTGGGTGTTTTCAATGTCCATCATAAAGAGTGGCTCGGCAGTAGCACAACTAATCAAGCTGGTCTTGTAGCTACTGTATTTATGAAGTTAGTCCAGTTGAGTTTATGGTCAATGGGAATGCTGCAGCAAATAAATCATATCCTGAACCCACAATGCCTGTGCACCATCTACAAGGCACAAGACAGGAGTGTGATAGAACACTCCCCATTTGCCTGGATGAGTACAGCTCCAACAATGCTCAAGAAGCTTGACACCATCCAGGTTAAAGCACTCTGCTTGATTGGCACCACATCCCTCCACCTCTGATGCTCAGTAGCAGCAGTGTGTACTATCTACAAAATGCACTGCAGAAATTCACCAAAGATCCTCAGACAACACCTTCTAAACCCATGACCACTTCCATCTAGAAGGACACCACCACCTTCAAGTTGAACTCCAAGCCACTCACCATCCTGACTTGGAACTATATTGCCGTTCCATCAGTGTCGCTGGGTCAAAATCCTGGAAAACAGCATGTGGACTGCAGCAGTTCAAGAAAGCAGCTCAGTACGACCTTCTCAAAGGCAAATAGGGACAGGCAATAAATGCTAGCCCAGCCAGCACTGTCCATGTCCCACAAGTGAATAAAAATAAGTGTGAGGACAGATATCATACATTTGACAGTTTCTTGTGTCTGTGTCCATACTGAAGTCCCCCGTTTTAGTGTAGATAGTGTTTGGAGTCTTGTGCACAGAAGAACTTATGGTAATTTAGAAAACAAGATATCAGAGCAAGAGGCAGTTATTCAGCCTCTAAATCCTGTTCCAATATTTAACATCACCATGGCTGATCCTCTAACACAGCTCCATCTTTCCATCTGAAATCAAGTCCCTGGATTTTGTTTGTGAACAAGCATCTCTCCATCTCAGTTCTGAATAAAACCATGACTGAGAGTGCACAGCTCTCAGGGGTAGAGAATTCACCATCCTCTGAGTGAGAACATTCCTGTTAATCCTACTGGAAAATAGCTGACCATTTAATCTGAAACTGTATTCACAGTCCTGCCCCAATCTCACATCACTACTTCTAGTCCAAGACTCTTCAGGCATAAGGCAAACAGCCTCTCGACAACATTCCCAATTTTCCAATAATTCTGAGGCTCTTTCTTCTCATTTGGATGAGAATGGGGCTGCAGGGCAGATGTGCTAACTGACCATGGCACTTTGGAAGCTTTACAAGGGGGAATGAGAAAGGAATTCAGTGTTATATTGAGGAAGATTGACAACAATTCCTTGCAATGAAGAACAAAAAACAAAGAAAATTACAGCACAGGAACAGACCCTTCGGCCCTCCAAGCCTGCGCCGATCCAGATTCTCTATCTAAACCCGTTGCCTATTTTTCAAAGATCTGTATCCCTCTGCTCCCTGCCCATTCATGTATCTGTCTAGTTACATCTTAAATGACGCCATCGTGCCCACCTCTACCACCGCTGGCAACGTGTTCCAGGCACCCACCACCCTCTGCGTAAGGAACTTTCCACGCATATCTCCCTCGCTGATTTGAGAAAAAAAACAAGTCGGGCCGTTCTCCCAGTTTGTCTGGCCGTACGGTGAGAACCGATCCCCGGCTGACTCAGCGGGGTGAGGCAAGCTGACTGCCATCTCCGTACAGCGGGAACTGGGGGACAAAATGAGTCAAATCTAGAGGCGCCATGGTCTAGATTCCACAGAATAACAGCAGAACATCTGGGGACGGAGGAGTAAACAAGAAGTGAAGTCGGAATACCGGGAATGGGGTACAGGAGCTCACAACCTGAGCTGGGAAAGCGGGCGCTGAACAGTCTGGCATAGGGAAAGCTTGAGTGACTTACAAAACTCCTTACTCCAACCCCCTCCAACAAACCTTGTCATCACATGGGCCGCCATCACGCACAACCCATTGTCAGCCACTAATGGTCCCCGTTAGTGCCCAGACTGACCTTTACCCACTCCTTTGTCTGTCCAACTGTTTCTATCTCTCTCTTTGAGCTTTATCTCCATCTTTTATTTACTCCTCACCACTCCCGGTTCTCCAAAACAAAACCACCTTCTGCATAAATACCAACTTTTTCCCCAGCTACCATCAGTTCTGACAGTGGCTCACCGGACCTGAAACATTAACTCTGCCTCCTCTCGCTGCTGGACCTGCTGAGTTTTCCCAACAGTTTCTGTCTCCGAGCCGAGCAAAAGGATCGGCTGCTCTTTATCCTTCGGCTTTGAAAGTGCATCAAAAAGTCAAAGCAAACGGGTGAATCAAAGAACCGAGGACAGGAAGAAGTATCCTTTAAGAGGAAATGTGTTTTTCATCGAGCGTCTGAGTAACAAAATGGGCTTTTTTTTTGGGAAGTCAAAAGTCATTTCCTTTAATTTCTCTCTTGGACTTCCAAGAACAACCAGAATTCCGAGTGATTTTCCCCTCATTTCAAACTTACATCTGGGTTGGACAAAATAAAACTGGTTTCCACACCCGGAGGATAGACAAAACCTTTTCAAGTCAAATCTGAAATGTTACCTTAAGCTGGAGATGGATTTAAGATTTATCAACTTGTTCCTCGAGCCACAGAGCAGCAAGTCTGCTTAAGAGATCAGAACTGGGAATCGGATATTTGAGCATTGCGATTAAACTAACTCTTGGACATGTTGTAAGGAGAGGCTGGGACTTTGTTTCACTGCAGTGGTAGGAGGTTGAGGGGTGACCTTATAAAGGTTCATAAAATCATGAGGGGCATGCATAAGGTGAATAGCAAAAGTCTTTTATCCAGGATCGGGGAATTGAAAACCAGAGGGGCATAGGTTTAAGGTGAGAGGGGAAAGATTTAAAAGGGACCGGAGGGGCAACTTTTTCACACAGAGGGTGGTGCGTGTATGGAACGAGCTGCCAGAGGAAGTGGTGGAGGCTGGTACAATTACAACATGTAAAAGGCTGGGTATATGGATAGGAAGGGTTTAGAGGGATATGGGCCAAATGCTGGAAAATGGGACTAGATTAGTTTAGGATATTGGGTTAGCACGGACGAGTTGGACTGAAGGGTCTGTTTCTGCACCTTTTTGACTCTATTGAGATCCAGCGCAAAGTTATCCTTCAGGCACCAGATCGAACAGCAAACATGGGGAGGAAAGATCAACACCTTTAAGATGTTTCCAAATGCGGTTGCAAACTAGCCCATAGCAGTAGAAACCGATGCTAATAAACACACGATCGCACTATTACATTTCGGTAACACTGGCCTGCAGGAGACATTTTCCAGAGTTGTCCCCAGGAGTGAGGAGTTCCGGTCAGGAATATGTTTGCCCGAGACTATGGAGGAAACTTTAAGTAAAATACCGAGAAGGGACGAGGCTGTTGGAGAAGGGAAAACGCGCAAGGCTACAGTGGGGGGCGGGTGGGCGGGATTTCAGGGGCTGCCTTCCCTTGGGATTTCTCCTGCTGCTGTGCAGATCTCCTAAGTCTTTCCACTCCCACGATTTCCGGACACGACGGTCAACGCGGCTGCCCGGCTCGAAGGAAGGATGCCGAGGAGAAGGGCACCACGATGAGGAGCCGCTAATGTCAACGGCCAGCGCGGACACAACAGGCTGACCGGCCAGCTGTTCGGTGACAATGCAGCGAAAATGGGAGTCACAAATAAAACGGGAAACACAGGTCACTGCTGAGCCCCGGCCAGAGCGTCGCGGGGGTCGTGTCCTCCGAGTGACTCGCCGATCGCTAACTCGGCCAAAAGCAAGTGATGCTGGGTACGTCGGCCAAGCGAAACTCTGAAATCACAAAACCCCCGCACACACACACACACCAGACCCAGTGCAAACACGGCAGCCAGGCGCTAGTGACAGGACCATTAACGTTAAGACGACGGTTATCCTGGAGAGGTATATCCCCGACAATTTATCCACCAAACACCAGACAGAAAAGCACCAGTTCCTGCTCACACGAAGAAACAACTAGTAGCAAGCCACCCAAAAGACTGGCAACGTTTCAAACTATCAAGTGAGTCTCCCTGGTTGGACAGAACTATTGCAAGTTCCAGAAAAAAACATCTAGAAAGGGAATGATAACAGGGTTCACCTGCAGACCAAGCTCCCTTGGACCTTCCGAGGAGGCAGGCACAGCCAAAGGCAGGCACAGCCAAAGGCAGGGAATCGCTCCCCCCATCCACAGAGAGAGAAAGAGAGGAAGCAGCTTCTCAGTCCCACAGAGCCAGACAGAGCGGGTCTGCGTAAATCTACAGGAGTCTCAGGAGCATGAGTCCTGATTGTTGTGCTGCCTGCTTAGTGCCAGGGTTTGAGACATCTGCTCAGGGCTGGAGAGCAGCTTCCAGTGGGATGAGTAGGATACGGTCATCGTGGTCTATGTCCATGCCAACAATGTAGGCGAACAAAGAAGGACATTCTGCATTGTCATAGTGAGGAAGTAGGCAATAATCTCTGAATTAATTCCTGAACCTTTGTATATTGGCATAGGGCAATTCAGCATGTGAGATGAATTTAATGCTCAAAGCCTGGTTTGGGAGAAGTGGTTTTCCTTTTTGGGTCATGGGCACAAATACTGGGAAATGTGAGAACTGTGCTGTTGTGACAGGTCTCCACCTCAGTATATTGGGTCTGGTGTTCTAGTGACCAACAGAACTATGGAAGTAGAGAGTATTTAAATTAATATAGTGACAGGAAGAAATCAAATTTGGGAGCATATAAATAGAACAAGGGAAGAAAGAAAGGCATCTACATGGCAAGTGACAAACCTTACAAAATGATTATGTAAGAGTAAATCAACAACTAGAGGTGACAAAAATAATAAAATGACCAAAACTAAATGCTTTGTACTTGAATGTATGTAGCATTCAAAACAAAACAGATGAAATGAGAGCATATATATACACACATAAATACAATCTGGTCAAAATTATAGAGAAATGGCTGGAGAAGGACATGAATGGGGAACTAAATGATGAAGAATAAAGGGCATTTAGGAAGGACAGGAAACTCAGAAGTGATGGAGAGGTGTGGCCCTGCTAATTGACGATGGAATGAGCACAAGAAAGAAGGATGATTTTAGTTTAAGAAAGAAAGGCATAGAAGTGGTCTGGGTCAAGAGGAGAAATGATAAATGCAAGAAATCACTACAATGGCATGGTGGCTCAGTGGTTAGCACTGCTGCCTAACAGCGCCAGGGACCTGGGTTTGATCCCAAACTTGGGTGACTGGGTGGAGATTGCACATTCTCCCTGTTCACAGGACCTAATTTCTCATTCTTCCTCTGTCATTGGTCCCAATTTGGACCACGAACTGTGGCTGTTCTGTTTCCCCTTTCAGAACACCTTGCAGCCCTTGTGTGACATTCTTGCGAGGTAACATACCATCCTGGAGTCACATTCATAGCTGAAGAAATACCTGTCTATTCCCATGATTAACAAATCCCCATCTCTCTTACCCTGCAATATTCGCCATCATCATAGCAGCTAGATCACCTATAGTGCTATGGATGTGGCTGTGTCTGAACTCCAGTGGGGAACCATCACTCTCACTGGGCCAGAAAACAGTTTGCAAGTGAGATACCCTTGAGATGACCTGAATGGGTAATGGAGATGCACGCGGGGGTTTCTCTTGGTACCTGCCATTTCCTCTTCATCTATCTGGCAGTCACCCTCTTCACCATATTCTTTATAGGATGCTCAAAGTATCTTCCACCATAAAGACTGATGCAAAATGTTTATTTAACTCCTCTAGCATTTCATTGTTTCTCATAATTGTCTCCCAGGTACATTTTGAAGGTGTCTGTGTTCACTTTGACCTCTCTCTTCCTTTTTAAATATTTAAAGAAGCTCTTATTGTTCATTTTTATATTCCTTGTTAGTTTGCTCTCATATTTTATTTTCTCTCTCTTTATTTTCTTTTTAGTTTTCCATTGCTGGGTTCAGAATTTATCCTAGTCTCTTGGGCTATTGCTGACTTTTGCCTCCTGATATGTTTTTTTTCTTTCAATTTAATGCTCTTCTTCCTTGGTTACCATGATCGGTTTATCCATCTTTTAGAATCTTCCCTCCTTACTGGAACGTATTTTTGCTGGGAGTCATGAATTACCTTCTTAAGTGTCTGCTGCTACTTGCTTCCTATCATTCCTGCTAATCTATTCACCCAGCTCACTTTAGCTAACTCTAGCCTCATTTCATTGTCATTCCCTTTATTTAAGTTAAACACCATTGTTTCGAGTAATATTGTAGTGCACCATCTACAAGGCATAAGTTGGGAGTGTGGTGGAATACTCCCCAGTTGCCCCTGGATGGGTGCAGCCCCAACAACACTCAAGAAGCTCGACACCTTCCAGGACAAAGCAGCCCACACAATTGGCACCACATCCACAAGCATCCACTCCCTTCCCCACCGAAGTTCATTAGCAGTAGTGTGTACTATCTACAAATGCACTGCAGAAATTCATGAAAGATCCTTAGCATCTTCTAAACCCACAACCACTTCCTTCTTGAATGATGAGACCCTCCTGGCACCTGCCCACACGTTGCCCTCCAAGTCACTCACCATCCTGACTTGGAAATATATTACCATTCTTTCAGTGTTGCTGGGCGAAAATCCGACAATTCCCTCCCTAAGGGCACAGTGGGTCAACCTACAGCACATGAACTGCAGTGGTTCAAGAAGACAGCTCACCACCACCTTCTCAAGGGGCAACTAGGAATAGGCAATAAATGTTGGTCCAGCCAGCGATGCTCGGGTCCCACGAATGAATTAAACAAAGTTTCTCACTCTTAAGCTGAAGAATGACTTCTATCATATTATGATCACTACTTTCTCAGGGATCTTTCACTTTGATATCATTGATTCAGCCTGCCTGATTAGCCATTACCAAATCCAAGATTGTCTGCTCCCTCATTGGCTCAATGACATATTCCCCCAGGAAACTAATAATGCTGTCTATGAATTTATTGTTGTTGTTACCCTTTCCAACTTGATTAACCCAATCAACATAAAGATTAAAGTCTCTCATAGCTATTGCTTTATTCTTTTCATAGGCTAGGAGCCTATCCTGCAGAGTGGCTACTGTTTGGAGGTCTGTACACTCCTCCTAGCAATGTCTTCTTTCTCACGCTGTTTTATCCCTCCACCTAAATGGCCTGTACATAATCCGAGCTGAGATCATCTCAAACAACTGTCCTCATTTCATCTCTTATTAATAATGCTACCCCACCACCTTTTCATCCCTCCTGTCTCTCTGAAAGGTCAAATATCCCTGAATGTTAAGTCCTCAGTTTTGACATTGAGACCAGAGCCTCTCTGCTTTTCAATTCTCTCTCCTGCTCAAATGAATTTCAGTGCTCTTAGGTTGTGAAAAGACCATTTTTTTTATTATCCTGTGTATTTGATTATAGACTGAAATGGGACAAAAACTACTTTAAGAACCAAACATTATTGAAGGATAGCTGCATTTTCTAAAAACAATTTACCTGGCACCCATTGTAAGTGCTAATTACACTGCTGCTTGTTCAAGCAGTGGGGGAAGTCTAGTTACACACAAGCTGTGTGCAGATGAAGATTTGGTCAGCAACAAGTAGCTGAATAGTCTGTGAAGTGGCGTGGTGGCAAGTTATCAATGGTAAAAGCCCCCTGCCTGCCAACAACAATATGACTGGCTCTCAGTTAGCTGAACAGGTTATGGGCGTGAATGTTTCAGGAAAGGTCTTCATTTCTCCAAGAGAGAAGGAGCTATCCCCTTTCTCTGCAGTAATAACTACCCCAAGTCTGAAGAAAGCTGGTTTATTTTCCCTCACCGCTTGCTGTAAGTTGTGATTTTTTTAACTAATAGGTTAGAGACTTTATGTGTGAACCTCTCACACTTTACCTCCTCCAAAGAAGAGAAAGTTGCTGGAGAAGGAGAACCGAGGAACAAATCCCAACAAAAGAATCAAACCCTATGAACAAGGACTATTGACATGCTGTTCCACTCTTCACCTTCGCTCATAACTGCCATGCTATTTTTACCCTGTCTGTGTCTGTCTGTGTTTGTATACAGAGGGGGAGTTTGTGAGGGGGAGCTAGAGTTCGATGTTGTGTAGTTATATGTCTATGGTTCTTAATTGTTTATCTGTCGTTGGAAACAATTTATTTATAAATATTATCATTGTTGTGAAGCAAAGATGCATGGCCTGTGATTTTTGTCCATGTGGGTCCAATTGAGGATTTTGTGAATTTTTAAAAGAATCTGTAACATTTTATGATGTCTCTGGGAATAGTGGGGTGTGATTTCCAATGTGATACCCCAGTGAGGTGTCACAGTTGATATAATTGCAGCTTTTCCAACCTGCACAAGTACAGTGAGAGGTGTCTCAATGTGCACCTTGAGATCCCTTTGCTAATCTATCAGCACCTCACAGCTGACCATATTGAAATTAAATTATTTATGAAATGCCGATATTGCTGGTGTATTAATTTCTCTGTGAGTGATGGTGCCATAATTTATATTGCCCGTAGTCACACACTCATTCACTCTTTGTGCATTCATTTACTCATAATGATACCTGTAACTTGTTTGAACTTAGCATCTAATTGTCAATGTGTCTGATGGAGGAATGAGCAGGAATGAAACCTTCACTGATATGGATCTGAAGCAGGGGAAGTGTGCTGGGGATTGAGCTACAGACAAGGGTTTCTGTTGCTTCCTCATGTGTTTTTGTTTTTCAAACTGAATTTCAGAGCCTGTGACGGGAACAAACATCAGCATTGTAAACATCACTAACTGCAATGTGACCCTGAGGTGCTCAGTGAACACAGGCA